CCTAACCACCGACACGGGTAACAAAATCAAATCAATACTGACAGTAGTGTTTCCGGTGAGAAAGTTACTGCCAGTAACAGTTGTGGTTGCGTCACCAGCCGAACATACTGGTGAATCATTTTCAGCATGCACAATAACGTTCGTCAAAGTTTCACACCGCGAGCAACATGTCGGCCAAATTCAGCCCGGCTGGAAGTACCAAGCCGCGATGAAAGCCTGTTAGTCTTCAACACAACACAACAAGATACATATATATATATATTGTCACACTCGGCTCATCAATATTCACTACCTCTCGTCACGTTAGAATACAATGGTCGTCACCAGTGTAGCGAGCTGGCCGATTCAATCGTTAAACGATAAGTCTTCATAGTTCATGTGTTTGGAAAGAGGAGAACATCACGGATGTGTGTCAAATTCGTTAAAAACATCATTACGTTGGCCGGATGGTTATGCTTTATCGATTCATGATGCATAATATACATGTTCAAAGCCTGGCGACCTAATATGGGATTCGACGAAGATTACAGCCTAGCTTCAGATCAGTATATGACCCTAATAGATTCGATCAGCGTTTATGTTCGGGCTTCCAGACTGATGACTTGTCAGATTCGATCATGCTTCAACATTGTTCAAGCTTCCAGATCGCATATTCCTGAATTTTGTACAATATACATTTCAGCCCTGTTGAAACAGCTGAGTAAAGTTCCATTTTGACAGTCAGCTGTTCCGACAGTGAAGGACTTTATCACTTTCTTCGCGATTGATCCTTTGTGACGTTAATCGATAGTCAGATGCGTTCACGCAGGTTCGACCACCAGTATAGCGATTTGTTCGACCATCACTATTAGCCAGTCAATAAGTCGTCACCCTTTCGAGACCAATATCCGGTCATCGACAGTGAACAATATCATACTTCTAATCAATCATTAATAACATATTGAGAAATTCGTCAACAGCGCTAACAAAATTATTGATGGTTAACAATATTAGCAGAATTATACATTTCATGCTCGTTGTTCCATATCAATATCTGAAACCATAACAAAACCATCATCGCCAGTAAAGTCTCAATCAGCAGAAATATTCTTCAAAACCAACATACCTTTATTTCGAGAGTCAAAAGCCGAAAATATTATCACACGTTAGTGCCCGTCGAATGTCACGAACATAGATTTGAAGAAACACCTGGTTATCAATCGTCCGACTTCGTCGTTTCTGGCTTTACTGAAATCATCCTCGTTCCCCACCAGCAGGTTATCAAGCGGTGAAAACACCGAAGTTGTTCATAATACGTTAATTCGTGCTTTTATCGATCAACACCGTTCGCTCGATACCGGTTATGTGGTCCAAAACGTCGCCATCAAAAGTTGTATATTCGCTAAACAGTAATCATTCTTCTTAACGCATCCGTTTTGATCAAGCAGCGATTGTTCGTTAAAATTGCCGCATTAATTTTCATCGATGCAACGCCCGACGTTCGCAGTTGCAAAACAGAGCGAAGACGATGTTCATCGTTATCGTTTTCATTTAACCGGTCAGACGGCAGCACTTCAGAGGCAAAACCGCGGGGAAATGTCGCCGTTTTCGTGTTCGACAGATAACAAAGAATTCGTTTAATATAAGATCATCATCAATACTTCGGTTGGTCGACGGCAGTTGCTTAAGTTCAGTCGTGGTTAACATACAGTCCCGGTTCGAACACAAATACCCGCAGAATACACCAAGTTCATGCCAGCATTAGCGACATACACGTAGCCTATTGAAAGACACTGTGCGACATTAATAGTTATTTATTTATCTGCAAGATGCCATACTGTAAAATCATGGTCAGTCAACAATTTATGCGAAGTGACGCCTCAACCGGTCACAATAATGGAGTATTCCCGTTCATCGTAAGAACACATCGATGTTTACCGAGGATATAGTTTCCGTTATCATCAGAAACCCAGTCGTTGATCTAAAATACCCATATGCTGGTTCGGCGCAAATTCAACGAGAAGCGATGTCATCAACATAGATCGGGTATCAGAGGTCATAACGAATCTCGATATCCATCAAACAAAGAATATGTCATCAATCGTTTCGGCAATACTTCGATTACGAACATCAATATGCGTTGAAGACGCCATAAAACAATGGTCTTCCGGTAGATTAGCCGAGCGAGCCGAACATCTACACAAATCAGCAGAGTAGTCAGACTTTAAACCGATTTTCTACTTCGGTGTCCCATATCGTTAAAGCGCCTGAGATTTTATTTCTCTGGCATAGCGTATTCATAACCAGGTATCATTAGATCGTAGAACACCATCAATAACAAATCGCGTTCAGCTGGCTCCAACAAAATGCCGACGTTAATTTATTGTTCCTCAATCTGTACGATTTACCACGTTTTCTTCAGATTACCAACCCGTTTCAGCTGGATCGTTAAATTACGTATTCGAATCCGCCGATCAACCGATCGAAGATGTTTGCAGAACCGCCTGACGCCGACCACCCCCGTAAATCAACAACACCAGACCTGCGTTTTCAACAGCCCCAGATTGGTGACGTTTATCGACCCGGATTCACCATTGCCCCAGAATTGTTGCAAGTTTTACCTTCGTTGCATATTCGTAGTTAAAGATATCGAAGGCCAATTGGTATATCGTCAATAGAAATCAACTGCCATTTATTGACGCTACCAGTTTATCTGTTACAAGACCCAACAGGTGGAATATTGCCGAGCGCAACAGTAACCGTCAACAAATTAACCAGATGCATAAGCATAATTGGTGACGAGATGCATAGCGAGCCGATGCCGTATTATGGTATCGCCGCTAAGATATGTTCGTCGACGTTTCACACCAGGAAACAATGTTCATCAACTGTTCCCGCCATTTTAGCATTAAGGTGCGTAACGAAGAATATCATCGCATTATAATTTTTCAGACACATCGATATTGAAGCCGATATAATCCACCATGGAGCAAAGCAGAACAACATAGCCAGACCCACTGAGCAGCTGACCGTCAACGAATTCGAGTCGGTTTCATCTTCCTACGATGTTCTTCACCAAAATCAGCAGTACCATCGTAATACCGAAATTATTACCAAACCGATCATCGCGCGTATTCCATTTTCAAAAGCTTTGCCCTTTAAAGCCATTTCGTTCAGAATTAATATGTCATCGAAAATCGTCCGTTCTCCTTATATATATTAACATTAACATACCTGACCTCGATAAAGTTACAAAACCAAAAGAACATGACAACTGAAGTTCAGCAGCGTTAACCATGAAACCAGTATACTAACAATGAGATACTATATTTTCGACTTCCGTACTGAAATGCCGCCAGAAATCATAGCCGAGAATTCCAGAACATGTTTAATCGATTTCTCAGTATAAAATTCGACCGTTATCGACTAACCTTTTCGATGAACAGAAGAAAGTTATCCCCCTCAGCTTCATTGCTAAGATTCATGCGATCCTTCAGTATGATTTATATTATATTATTTCCAGATAATATATCAGCGAAGAAGGTGCGATTAAGTAATCAGTGTTATTTAATCGTTTCGAAACATTGTGGCGATAGTACCGATCGTCGGAAAATGAATTTTATATGCTGGCATTCTTTCAAAACAAACGAAGGAGCCGAAGCGCTTATTGATAGGGGAACGCTGGCAGAAAGTTCCAGATCAACTATCATGAAAACTCCGAACAGCGATTTGCGTTACGTAAAATTTTAACCGGGATCAATGCATTTTCAGCATTTGTTCGCGGTTGCTTTCCTGATTCAAACAACCGAAAGTCGCTATATCAGCCTAAAGTGGACCGAATCTCAGTGGCATCAGGAAGAAGCAACTTCCGTGTATTTGAAGGAATATGAATGCATTTGTTATTTCATCTGCTCACGCAGTTTAGCGGAAATGTTTGATTCAGCAGAAGTTATGCTGGCCGGCGTTATGCCCCGAACCAAACTGTCAGTAGTACCGCGCCCAGACTTGATGAAGCGAAAGTGTCAATGCTGCTGTATCGATGACAGTCATTGCCGAAATGAAGAGGTGCTCCATATTAACAAAGGACCACCCACTTCGTCCTCGATCAAAACAGCTCGACAGCCGCTCACGCTGACTTTACAGCGACACCACCGACTAAAGTTCGAATCTGAAGTTACAACTAATATCTCAATATCGCGATATCGCTATATAAAAATTACACCAATTTCGGTTACTCGGTTCAGTTCGCGTCAGGATCAGGGATCAATATGAAAGCCGACCAAATCCGGGCGATGCTTCACATCGCAGGTCACTTGCTCACACGCATGCCGATTACGGTAAATGCCGATTAATGAAGTATTGATGCACCTCGACGACACCGTCTTCCCGGTACAGAAACACGAAATAAAGGACTGAAACCAAACCTCTTTCAAAACCAGTCACCTTCGAACAAGTAACCTGGTGAACAACAGTTATTTCACCTCGAATACCTTAACACTAGCAACGAAATAACATATGGATTGTTGCAATATGAGTTACGCCGCGTAGGTTCTGAAGTACATTATCGCGGTATGTTTATTTACTATCTCAATATTCAGTTGGTGGATCAACCGAGTTCGAACTGCGACATCCTGTAGCCAACAGCATGAATATTGATCCGTTCATTTATCGTCTGCTCGTTGTCTTCGTTACGGGTCATTGAAATATTCCTACGAGCGCATTATCACGCTGATACAGAAAGAACGTGAAGGCGATGTATAATAATAAATATGACGAAGCGTTTTCTCCAGTTGATTGATGAGGTTCCAGAGGGTTATCATTAAATTGTCCGATCCAGACTTGATTATTTACAGACTCCGCCATATAGCTGGTAATCTACATATTCCACTCATGTATATTTTCAACTCTTGTATAACTGTATCTGAATTTAAAGTAAGATGATGTTCTTTAAGTTCACTAACTTGACATGACAGGAGATCGAGGCTAATATTTCATTTCCTGACGCATCATTGATTCTTCAGGTCGTGATGACCTGATGGAGGTCGTGAGGTCAGCAATGTACCCTGCTGTCATCAAGAACCTGTTTGGACAGGATGTGTTACCTATAGCTGAGAAGGTGGGTTGTCTGTACCAAATATAAACTTGGAACCAAATGTACTTTCAGACAAAAGATATCAAAGGCATATATGTATTTATGAGACAATAATCATACTTCTTTCAAAATGGCTTTGTTTTATCTTGTCCTGTATCTCATGTTATCATGAATGGTTCAGTGTTAAGAACAGGCTTCACCTGTTAGTGATATAAGCCTGCTCTTATCCAGTGTGTAATGGTCTCTCCACTCTGCTCCACTCTGCTGGAACCCTCATCCAATCAACTGGAAAACACTTTCGGCCATATTTGTGTATACATGTATATGCCTCCACGTTCCACACTCTGTACATCCAGCGATAATGCACTCAGTAAAGATCTGGGTTAGAATTGGTCTTCAGTAACCCATGCTTGTCGTAAGAGGTGACAAACGGGATCGAGTGGTCAGGCTCGCTGACTTAGTTGACATATGTCATCATATCCCAATTGCGTGATCAATGCTCATGCTGTTAATCACAGGATTGTCTGGTTCAGACTCAGTTGTTTACAGACCGCCGCCATATAGCTGGAATATTGCTGAGTCCGGCGTAAAACTAAACTCACTCACACTGCTTGATAATGTTACTAGAACCTACACGGAAAAGTAACTCATATTACAGCAAGGAAGTTGTTCATCCATATATCTATTCCGTACTAAGTATTAAGTATTCAGGAGTGGAATAGATGACTTACCACATTTTGTTGTTACCAAGGTTACTTGTTCAGAATTGATACTGGTTTTGAGAAGGTTTGAGGACTGTCCTACTTATTTCACCAAGAGAGTGTTTCTGTACCAGGAAGGTGAATTAATCATCAGGTGTACATCAATATACAAGTATCAACATTTACCATGTATCAACACATGCATTAGTTGAAACAGAAATTGTTCTGTTTGATGTAAACATCCTTGGATTTGGTCAGCTTCCCATGTGTGATCCCTGTCATAGATCCCTGGCTGCAGACTGGGCCAGAATATACAGTACAACCAGAAATTATTGAGAATTTAAAGATTGTAATTTTTTATATTTTTTTCACCCATTACTCACGTATTAAATGTGAATATTAGCAGAACATAACTCCAGATTCAAAGACAGGTGAACAGTTAGTATTTTGTCAAGTCAACATGGGCAGCAATGCAGGCTTCAATGTGGCGGGGCATACTACTGATCAAAGAAGTTAGTAAGTCGTGGTCCATGCTGTCCCAATATCGACCACCTCTTCTTTCATTTCAGCAATATTTGTCATATTTTGCTTATTGACACTTTCCTTCATAAGTCCCCAAACATTTTCTATTGGATTTAGTTCAGGGCTATAGCTTGGCCAATATAATAATGTCATATTTTGGGTCTGAAACCAGGCCTGTGAATGCTTTGAATGATGTTTTGGGTCGTTGTCCTGCTGGAAAATCCAAACATTTCCATAGAACACGTGAGCAGATGGAAGTAAATGTCCCTCGAGAATATCTGTGTACCGCTCACTGTTCATATTCCCTTCAAATACACAGAGGGGCGTTGCCCCTAACACAGATATGCCACCCCACACGTTAAATTTCGGTCTGTACTTTAGGCGCTGATACAAACGCTTTTCAGTTTGTTTAGTCCAGAATTTCAGTGTATTAGGAAACAGCCACACAGAACTTTCATCTGAGAAAATCACATTGTCCCAGTTAAAATTTCTATGCTGTAAGCACCAGTTCAACCTTCGCTCCTTTTGTTCAGGTTTCATGATCGTTGATGGAATTCCTCGACTTTTCTGCCAAGCCTTACAGACAGCCACAGTTCCCCTATCAATCGCCTTACGTTTTCTAAACTCCTTCGTTTGTTTTTAGAAAAAAGAATACCAAGCCGCAATACTNCTCGTGTCACCGACAGTCAATTTTCTGGGCCTACCTGCGCCTCCCTGGTGCTCAATGCCATATCCATTTGCAATATTTTTCAAAACACGATAAACTGTGGACAAAGGGATGCCTGTTCTACTTGAAATCACTTTAGCTGATCTGATGTCCTTGTTATAATACTCTAAAATCAACTTCCTCTTCTCTAAATCATCCATACTGAGGATCACTGAAAATGGCGTCTGCTAGCAAGTAAACAAAGGGGGATAACTCTTCACAAACAAATGAAAAAGGATTAACGGAGTTGTCTTTCTTGAATGAAACCAAGCAATTGATAGCTGGTCAAGGTTGTTTATACTAGAAATCCAATTAAACATATTCCTAAAATTCTCAATAATTTCTGGTCATACTATAGCGGACTGAATATTGGCAGCTATTTCAGAAAATTTTAGAGTGAAAATATAGAATATCCTCATTTGACAGAAAGAAAATATACTAGTTTCATGGTTAGCACTTGCTGCAGACTGGGACAATGCATGATTTCTTTTTAGTTTTATGCTTTATCAGCTTTTTGGGAGTCCAGGACATTATTTATGTATATATATAGAGAGAAACAGACAAATTTTGATGACATGTGAATTCCTGAACAAATGAAAGCTTTAAGTGAAAAAATTTAAAGCTTTTGAAATGTGTTTGTTTTTTCAGGAGGAGTTTGACTTATTTACAAAGCACTTTATTACCTTTGATGATCAGTTTGAGTATGGAGCCAAATTGCCCGGTGTATTGCTCAGGTGAGTACACATTCGGTACTGCTGGTTTAGTGGACAGAGAACATCAGCAAGAATGGGTGGAGTGTTAAAGGGGCTCTCGGCTCAGGTCATTTGGCAGTCCAAGCAAGCTCAATTCAAGGTCTAGCTTGTATTTATTTATCTGCTTGCTCAAATTTTATGAAGTGGATTATATCAGCTTTAATATGATATGTCTAAGTACATATCGGTAATGTCTCATTACACACCTTAATGCAAATGTAGGAGCTCAGATTGTGGAGCATTGTTTCCCTGGTGTAGGGCTGTCTGACAGACATATCTCGCAACATTGTACCAAAACACAGCATCGAAATATTCATATGCATATAATTACCAAATATACTTGCCATCTATGGGATTGTAGAGTAGATTTGTTGGTAGTTTACTGTTGCACTCAGCAATATTCCACCTATTTGACAATCAATATAGATAAGCAAGTAAGTCAAATATGCATCAATAAATAGCAGTTAGTTCCTGTGGCTGAATGCCTACTTTAGTTAGCCTTTCGAATATGCTTTAGCTACAAAAGAATATACAACAGAAATTAAAAACTTTACCTTAGTTCTGTTTCTAGGACTTAATGAAATGAATCAGATTGATAAACATCACAATACGGAGCTGTACAGAAACACCCAGATTCTGGAGTGAAGTCAGCTATGTTGTTGTTTACAGGGAGTGGTCAACGTCCAAGCAGTTTCTACTAAACATCTTCCGGTCAGTTGTCAGCAAGATTCAGATGCATGAAAACAACAGTCCAGCAAAGAAAGAAGTAGGTTGGTGAAAATCCTGAAAGAAACTTGTGTAAATCAGCCTAGATTGAAAAGGAAATATCAAATTTGCGCTTCAGCATTTTTTATTTGTCATGTCAAGGCTCAGGTTAGCTGTTAATAAAACACATTTGATTAAATGACGTGATGTTGTGACATGAAAGTGTTCTACAGATCTAATGATACCTGAGTTATGAATACACTATACCAAGAAAGTAAAATCTCAAACATAACAGATATAGGACACCAGAGTTTAAAAGAAAATCAGTTTAAAAGTGTCTGACTACTCTGCCTTTGATTTGTAAAATATAGATGTTCAGCTCATAATATCTACCAGAAGGTATTATTTTTATGGCATCTTTACAACACTATGTGGTGTTCATGTCAAATATTGCCAGAGCAGTTATTGTGAAACATAATGCTGACCCATTAGGATCCCAGGATTGCGGTAACTGCACATTGTAATCTGTGCAATCTATGTTGGTGACGCATCCTTTCTCATTTGAATTTGCACTATTTGAATTGCCTGCTTCGTGCTTTTTTCGTCAAACATTTGAAGTTAGGTTTCTGATGATAGCAAAGGATATAATTCAATTGAACTGCTATCACCCCTCAGTAAACATCGATGGTGTTCTTGTTAGCTGAGGAGTTTGTGTAGCTCTAAGACAGGAATACTCCCATTAATTTAATGATGCAGTTAAGGCCAGGGGCGACACTTGCATAAATTTGGTGACCTATTTATTGCATGATTTACAGTATAGCATCTTACAAAGATAAATAAATAACTGTGTAATCCTTTTGGGTCGTGTGTAGTAGATACATTGTATATCCTTAATACTGGCACATGAACTTGAAGTGGATGCAATTTGTTTTCCAGACTCTTCTGCAGATTGTTTGTGGTATAGCAGACCAGGACTGTATGGCCAACTACAGCCTGCTGTTTCTGTGGGCTTCGCTAGCTAATGCCATCCCGGTATGTCCAAGTAGTAGTGGTCGTCTGCCTGTTAAACAGTGCTGATGTGGGTTGACCAGTTATTTATCTATGAAGACACAAAAAACAACGACACTCCCCTTAGTTTTTTACCTCACCCCAAGTGCCTGCCAGTCTATTCGGGGCCATGGATGAAACTGTCTTTGTCAAGAACATCCGCTCTTTAACTCTGACACAGTATATCTCTTCATGAACATCAGACGACACATCCGTAGAAGGTCTCCTCAGCAGAACACTAGCAAACAATCACTGCCCAATCAAAACAAAGGATGCATTAGAAGAATGATTATAATTTTATGAATATACAACTTTATTCTGTGAAAGCGACGTTTTGACATAGGTTCTACAACATAACCAGTCGTTATCAGGCAAGTGATTGTTTTTAGTCATAGTTCAGTGAAATAAAGCCACAGATATAGAAACACATAATGTGTTTTTTCTTCAGTGCATGTTTTGTTTTCCCCTTAGATAGCCTACTGGACGCTGGCTTTCATGATGCAGAACAAGGATGTCCTAAACAAAGCCAAACAGCAAGTGGACAGTGTCCTTAAGGCAAAATCTAGCGGTCAGTTTCTTCATCTATGTTCATGACAGTGTTGTTTTACGTAACCATTAATGGCCTGGCACCTTGACTCCTCACATAATGCAAGGGCATGATAGTATATTGGTTTTGAAGGGAATATTTCTGCTGGTTCTTAAGAGACTACTAACATTGGGCGAGTTTTTGTTATGGTTTCAAAGATATTTATTATTATCAGTCATTTTCTTCAAAACATGAAATCGTCTCTTGAAATGGAATTCTCTCTTTAATATGTATTGCTCATGTTGATCAATGGGGTAGAAATACACAGAGGTACTGTTGCAGGGATTTAGGGGAAGAACAGGTCCCCTGTGTCCAATGTGTGTTGTAAAAAATGATTGATTAGAAGTATGACTCTGTGACTCACTGTGTGTAATTGTATAGTGTGGATCTCAAGGGGTATTTATAACCTGACTTGACTATTGACTGGCTATAATAGTGACTCTTAAGTGAGTGAGTCAGACCTGCCACAGATGCCCTACCTGAAGTATACTGATTTATGTTGTAGTGAGTGAGTCAGACCTGCCACAGATGCCCTACCTGAAGTATACTGATTTATGTTGTAGTGAGTGAGTCAGACCTGCGACAGATGCCCTACCTCAAGTGCTGCATGCTGGAGGCTATCCGATTGCGGTCACCAGGGATCATCACGAGGAAAGTGGTCAAGTCCTTCACTGTCAAGGTTGATATTTGTAAAATGGAACTACTCAATGTTTCAAATAAGGATTTTAGAAATGCTATAATAAAATCTTAGCTGTGTTTTTTCAAATTCAAAGTCATATGCAGTCTGGAAGCTTGGAACATAATGTATAAACATGATCAGATCCCATATTAGGGTCATATGCAGTCTGGAAGCTTGGAACATAATGTATAAACATGATCAGATCCCATATTAGGGTCATATGCAGTCTGGAAGCTTAGAACATAATGTATAAACATGATCAGATCCCATATTAGGGTCATATTCAGTCTGGAAGCTTGGAACATAATGTATAATATACATCATAGATCATTCAGAAATAACCACCCATTGTATGTGATGTTTTTGGCTGTAGTTTCTGTTTCTATCCTGCTGAATCCTTTGACCTTACACATCCATGGTATCTTGTTCCTCCTCTCAAACCTATGGGCTATGAGGCTATGTTTATTTGATTAGATCAATATTAGCTCATGACACTGGTTCCTGGAATTCCAGACAGATGATATGTATTCTAGCATGGTGGAGATAGTGAATGTGTCATTAGTGTGTGTATATATATATATATCTGTGTGTTGTGTTCAGGAGATGACTGTACCGGCCGGGGATATGCTGATGCTGTCACCCTACTGGGCTCATCGCAACCCCAGATACTTCCCTCAGCCCGAACAGTTTCGCCCGGTATGACTTCCCATAAACAGTTGGTGTGAGACTTTATTGAATTGTTATTGTCATGCTGGAAATTGTTATGTCAAGTTCACTGAACATGGTCGGAAACAGTGACACACATCACATGCTCCCAACAATCAGTGTAACACTTGCTGAAGTGCTTCTCACCAGGTACCATGTCAAGTGTGGTTGGTTTGTTACCCCGTGAAGATCCGGGTTAGAATTGGTCTTCCACAACCCATACTTGTCGTAGATGCGACTAACGGGATTGGCTCACTGACTTGGTTGGCACATGTCATTGTATCCCATTTGCTTAGATCGATGCTCATGCTGTTGATCACTGGATTGTGTGGTCCAGACTCGATTATTTACAGACCGCTGCCATATAGCCGGAATATTGGTGAGTGCGGTGTTAAGCAACAGACCAACCAACCAAATGGTTTGTTAGATTACATGTGTTAAGCAAATGTTTTGGCAGTCACCAAACACGTATATCAGTGTCTTGGTTCTAATAACAAATAACAATGTTGCTCACTCATGTAGTGAAAAAATAGAACTTGCATCCTGGAACAGATATGTCGATAACGTTGTAGGTTGAGGCATGGGACTTTCTGTTTCCCAATTTGTGTGTTGGCCATTTGTCTTTCTGAACTGGAAGTAGTTACGATTTAGTTATTAGGGTATCAGGAGGCAAAAGACTTTCTGATCTAAGACATGTGTTTTCCTGTACTGCAAGCATCAAGCGATGCGTATAATGTTGGAGGTTTGGGGGATTCAGGAAAAGGACTGCTTCTTGTTTTGCATGTTACACAAACACCTTTTGGTTTTATCATTGGAGGGATTCAAACCCCATCCCCTGCCCTTGGATCTGCCGCTGTTATATATGTATATGTCAACAACAGTCACAATACATTGATGTTTTGCTAAGCATTATGATGGATATATATACAAGACCCTTTTTTCTGACTTTAGGATCGCTGGGAGAAAGCAGATTTAGACAAGAATGTCTTCTTACCAGGGTTTGTAGCATTTGGAGGAGGCCGCTACCAGTGCCCTGGAAGGTGAGGTGTTGTACGTTATACCTGTAAACCTGCCAGGACAGTAAAACTCCTGGAACAGATCTACTTGTTTCCATGGTCATATTGTAAAGTCCATAATTAACTGGTTCTTTGGACTCAAAAGTACAGACTTCCTTCTGACCTGTGAAGACTGGGTTACAATTGGTCTCCAGCAACCCATGGTGGCCGTACGAGGCAACTTTTGGGTTCTAGTGCTCAGACTCGCTTAACTGATTGATACATGCCATCGGATCTAACTTGGATAGTTTGATGCTCATGATGTCAGTCACGGCATTGTCTGGTCCAGACTTCATAGACCACTGTCATATAGCTGGAATATTGCTGAGTGCAGTTTTAAATAAACAAACCAAAACAAACTGGTTACCTTCAAAACGTTGCATCACTCACTTCTTGTCCAAAATGGTACTTGGATCCAGAGGAGCAGCAGGGATGCATTTATACAGTCGGAAAATTCATAAGAATTTGAGTATACTAAAAAATGTTTAACACATTTTGGTGAAGTATTTTCAACAAAATTTTACCATTACTCAATGCAAGTTGCCAACTAACAAAATGTACACTTCTTTATTTAATAAATGTATTGGTGCTTGAACCATGTTCTGTTTATAAAAGATCATATCAATATCATAGGATTACGTCTATCCTTCAAGTGAAAGATGGTTGTGTATTGTGGGGATTTGTGATCTGAATGGACATTCAAGTGACACTCTGTTTGGGGTAGAAAACAGCATCCCATTGTCAGATATGTGGCATCATGTATTTCAGATGGTTTGCCCTGCTGGAGATCCACATGTTCATTGCAATGTTCCTTCAGAGATTTGACTGTAAGCTGATAGATTCTTTACCTGAACCAGTAAGTACAACCTGTGGAAAACCCTGAGGCGTTTCCGTACGACCAGTTTTCAAATTCTACAACTTTAGTTTAAAACCCAAACTTTAAGCAATGAGAAACATTTTATTTTAAATCCACATAAAAAAACTACCTGCAAAAATGGGGAATAGTGAGACACTTTACATGGAGCATGAAATGGAGCTTGATCCTGTGAATAATTGAGCAGAATTGTGATATATCTGTGTGCATTTACTTAAGTCATTGTTTATTTTTAATTTTTGTTCTTTGTACCGGGGTATATCTATTTTAAATGTGAAGATTGGTTGCTGCCCTCCCCAAAATCTTCAAAGCAGTCAGCATTTAAGTTTGTAAATGTAAACAGTGAATTCCAAAACTTTAAGGAAATAATCAGAATTTCATAGATATACTGGACCAAAATAGTTAGGGATGTATGTAAATTTTGAAATTATGAATAATGATCTATTTATTCATTGAGACACTGATAAAAATACCAATATCCCTAACTTATTTTGGCCAGTATATTTATCTGTTAAAAAGAATGCAGCTTTGGAATCCTCCAGGATTGTCTGTGTCCCTTTTCCTAGACATTATGGCCATTGTCAAAACTTAATCCTCAAATGTTAATTTGTTTAGACTAAAAGAGCGTACCACAGCAGCTTATACTAAACAGTGAACTGCCAACTCTCAATGCCTGCAGACAACATTTCATGGTTTATCTGTTCATAAGAAAGCTGTTCAGTTTCATCATATCACTTGAATGCCTGATATGAAGGTAATGTTGTTCTGTTTCAGAGTCCACTGCATTTGGTCGGCACACAACAACCTCGCAATGCTTGCTGCTTTCAGTACAGTCTACGACGGTAGTTAGACGTGTTCAACTGACTTTGGCTAGTTTTGATTTTGAAGAAGTGTTTGGGAGAAGGTGACTAACATGAGTTTGGATGGACACCATTGCTGAAATATGATGCATTCAATGAGATAGCGAATTTGTGGTTATTGAAATGTGAATTACTGTGCCTGTGATTGTATTATACTCTTTAAATTCCCTGCGAACATGGACTCAGATACAAAGATTTTGCCAGTGTGCTCAATTGCAATCATGATTCATACTTATTTAGTCATAATGACATGTTTTCAAATGATGTGTGTGTTATACATTATACGGGTAAATAATTTAACCAACATTTAAACAAAAGAAATTGTTTGTGGTTTTTTCTCTTTTTATTATAAAATTTCAGAGTTGATGACATGGTTATTTATTGGAAAATAATTACTGATCTGTCCTAAGAATCTAACATGATGAAAGCTGAATATGTCATGTTGATGGCTAATGGTTACTATGAAAACAAAAGTGAATGAAGTCCCAGAAATACCTGCAACATACTTAGAAATGTCAATTAGCGCGCATGGCAAAGTCAAGCCAAATCATGGAAAGGAAAGATGTTTTGGAAGAACTACATCTGGACAGACAGTAGTTGCATGTGAGAGAACATTAATTGAGAATATCGTTATGTAGGGATGGGTGGAACCACAAATATCAGACGATATATAACACATCGATTATAAGGATGCGGTGATTGTGTGTGGTACTGTGTATAGAGCCCAGGTCACAAATCTGTTGAAGTTAAGCAACGTTGGGCGTGGAGAGTTCTTGGATGGGTGACCGCATTTGGCAGCTTGACTCCTGAGAGTTTCTAGGACTTCAGTCCTGCCCCACAACGAAGGGCATGTGATAAATGTGGTCTCACCTTAGGCAAGTGAGTTTGTTAAAAATTGCCTCTGTTCAGTCTCCAAAAAATGTGTACGCGGGGGGATAAATCATATGACTATTAACCTTATGGCTCACAGGCAGCTTTGGTTATCTGGCGTAATAATGTGTCAGGGCTTTGAGCATGCACAAGTGTGTGGAAACAGGCGCCTTTATAGATAGCCATTATTATTATTTATTGTGTGACAAGAGGATATGTTTGACAGGCATTTTTATGTTTAATGACATATCTGTACATTTTGTAGCAAAGTTTAGAATTATGTTTTACAATTTATCTTAAAAACCATTTACTTAAATCTACATTGTTAAATATTCAGGCACATTTTTGTTGTTATTTTCTTCTGGACCAGTGAATTGTTGGTGCCCTTTTATAGGTATATTGATTGTCTGAATATAATCATGTTTCATGAAAATGAAAAGAATAATAAAAAAATCACTATTGACATAGTATGTTTGTGTTCTTTTTATGGGGGTATGATGAATGGTGTTGACAATTGTAGTTAAGGAGATGGGAGTATGGTGAATGGTGTTGACAACTATAGTTAAGGAGATGGGAGTATGGTGAATGGTGTTGACAACTGTAGTTATGGAGATTGGGGTATGGTGAATGGTGTTGACAACTATAGTTATGGAGATTGGGGTATGGTGAATGGTGTTGACAACTGTAGTTAAGGAGATGGGAGTATGGTGAATGGTGTTGACAACTGTAGTTAAGGAGATTGGGGTATGATGAATGGTGTTGACAACTGTAGTTAAGGAGATGGGGGTATGATGAATGGTGTTGACAACTGTAGTTAAGGAGATTGGGGTATGGTGAATGGTGTTGACAACTGTAGTTAAGGAGATTGGGGTATGATGAATGGTGTTGACAACTGTAGTTACGGAGATGGGGGTATGATGAATGGTGTTGACAACTGTAGTTACGGAGATGGGGTAATGGTGAATGGTGTTGACAACTGTAGTTAAGGAGATGGGAGTATGGTGAATGGTGTTGACAACTATAGTTAAGGAGATGGGGGTATGGTGAATGGTGTTGACAACTGTAGTTAAGGAGATGGGGGTATGGTGAATGGTGTTGACAACTATAGTTATGGAGATTGGGGTATGGTGAATGGTGTTGACAACTGTAGTTAAGGAGATGGGAGTATGGTGAATGGTGTTGACAACTATAGTTAAGGAGATGGGGGTATGGTGAATGGTGTTGACAACTGTAGTTACGGAGATGGGGGTATGGTGAATGGTGTTGACAACTATAGTTATGGAGATTGGGGTATGGTGAATGGTGTTGACAACTGTAGTTACGGAGATGGGGGTATGGTGAATGGTGTTGACAACTATAGTTAAGGAGATGGGGGTATGGTGAATGGTGTTGACAACTGTAGTTAAGGAGATGGGAGTATGGTGAATGGTGTTGACAACTGTAGTTAAGGAGATGGGGGTATGGTGAATGGTGTTGACAACTTGAGTTAAGGAAATGGGGGTATGGTGAATGATACTTTATGCAGTTGACCTTTTAATCGATTATTAAATTCAAATGTACACTTGATAATTAATTAAGCACAGCCTTAATCCAAGGGCAGTAACAGTTTGGTCCAACCAGGCGATATGTAAGCCATACATGTAAGTCATGTGGTTCACACAATTACTCAAAAGCTACAGTTGCATGTTCACGAGCTGCGAAGGCACCAAGTACATTGGGGTATATATTAGATTGTCGCAGTTTGTCCACTACAGTTTCCTGAACTGGTTTAAAAGTGGACAAAACAAAAACATTGTCATTTGCAAGACGTATACTTGATGGCCAATAGGCGTGTCCTGTCGCAACATCCTTATAACTTGAATATTTACCACAGGGATATCAGTGAAGTACAGGCCCATCCAAAGACCTAGGAGACCAAGGAAGACCAAGGTCCGTGATGACCTAATTCATCTAGCAAGACAATTCGCTGACCCAAGCCGAAGAACTGGACCAGTTATGGAAAAAGGGAGTCCGACTCTTCATCGGTGACTTTACCATCAGAAAAAGGGCTGCTGGTCTGAGAGAATTGTGTCCGACCAGGCAACCCGTCGTCACAGTGCCCGATATGAACCCCATCGAACATCTTTGGGACTATCTTGGAAACCAAGTTTGAGGTAGAGATCCTTCAGTTCAAAACATGCAGGAATTCTGATGATGACGATTCGACGCTTGATTGCGGAGACTGGCAGATGCTATCACTGCGAGGCGTGGCTGCTCCAGGTACTGATGTGGTCGCCAGTGGTGGTTCAAGAGATGTGTTTGACGCCGTTTTGAACTGTATTTCAGTTGTGTCACAGCTGTGACAACTTAATGTGGGAGGAAAACCCCAATTTAAGTTGGTATTAAACCATCGAAATGTTGGATTGGGAACCCTTGATCAGGGGTTTCCAACTTGAGACTCAGCCAGGCAACTGGATCTTCCGCTCCCCCGTGTCATAATGAAGAGTGCGCGGTGAGATGAAAGATTCAACAATGACTACTTTCAACAACCCAGAGAAACAATGAGTATAAAACTTGACCAAATAGCAGCCAGTTTGCCTCCTGGACTTCCCATCGGACCACATCATAATGTATAAAGACAAGCATATGTTTTGGGATTACAAAACGTGCAAGCAACAACGGAATACATAAAAGGGACGTCAGTATATGTAGTGCTTAATTAATACTTCTCTGAACATTTTTGCTCATGATATTACCTCAACACGATATAATCGGGGTTGGGTTTTCACTGATCAGACAGAACATTGCAATTGCTGCATGCCATCGAAGTGCTAACATCACGACCAACCACTGTAGTACATCACTCGATAAAGTCAATCAAGCTGTGTCTTCACATGATGCAGTAATGCTTAAACAGCTGGAACCCCTGTAATTATGTCATTTTGTGGCAAAGAGAGAACACATAAAAAGAAATATTCCTCTGATTTTATGGCGTTATCGGGTTGTTATGCATGATAATAAATCCCAAATTCTCATTCCCTCTGTTCGTTGATTGTTCGACGTGTCTCAGGTTGTTGATTTAATCTTTAGTGTGTGTTGGTATAGTTCAGTTTATTTAGATATTCTAGAAAAATCGTCATGGCAAGTATTGAGTGCGTGCGATTATTATTTTAATAGATACCACATGTTCAATTCACTTAAACATATAAATCTGTTGATTCACTAGAAAATTAAAGAGCTTGTTGGACTGAGGAACACGGTAAGAACTGCTTCTATAATACAATGCATTTCAGACTAGGT